CAAGATTTTTCCCGCGTAAATTAATAACTCAAGGTTCTGAGAAGCCAGAGAGCTGGGATCTTAGGGGGGTGTTCCCTGTCTACGTGGATATTAACGAGTTCAAACCCTGCCCGCGGGTAAGCGTGGTACTTGCGTACAGGCCCGTGAAAAGTTTCTTCCGGGTAAGTTAATTATTCGAGAAAGTGAGAAGCTAGAAGATTGGAATTTTGAGGTGATGTTTCCTGACAGATCTGGCGGCCAGTCTGAAATTCATTCAGCTAGAAGCATCTGCCGAAAAACCGATGCCGGTAGCGACAAAAACCTGCGGGGAACTCTGCAAAAAACGCATCTTCGCACGAGCAGCCTGTACCTTGGCCATTTGTTTAAACTGTTCTGTTTATGCTACGGGATATTTTGATCTGTCATTAGAAAAATGAATGGTCTGAATTCTCTACAGTGTGAAGAAATGCAAACCAGCTGACCTGAGAGGTGCCTTGTTTAGGTTGAACAGAAATTGCCTTCCCAAACAGCGCAATCCGATCCATCACGTCACAGGCAAACGGGACACTCACTTCGTGCAAGAAAATAGCCAAGGCATAGCGATGTGGCGAAGCCGTCGTGCCGTTCTCACGCAGAATAACACGATCCAGAGGACCAGCCTAAATTTGCTGTTAAGAGAACACAATCCAAATGCAGAATTTAAGCTATCAGAGGATGCTACGCAGTCCATCACTACCAGCAGAATGAGATAACTCGTTTCCAGCACTCCGCTACTCAAAGCAAGGCCTGCTAGTGCATTTTCTTGGAGGAGAGTGAGAGGATATGCTGCTGCCTTCTACATACAGTGTAGGTACATAAATGAAGCAGCTGTACATATTATGGCAACCTTTTGGATCAGTATGCAGTTGTAAATTGGCGAAATCTCAAATGCCTCGTCCTGGAGCTACGACAGCTGTCATCCGGGGCTTGAGCTTCACACTACGTATCAGGATGAAGCGCGCTACCAGGGCTGCTTCAGCTCATCTGTCGTGAATGAAGCGCTAATTTCAATTATGCAACTTCTGGCCAGCAACGAGGGGCACACACACTGAAGGTCGACCTCGCGGATAAACAAGCACAATCCACCCGACGACTAACTGGCACTGGGGCACGGCAACGAGCCACATCCATCATTTCTTGCTTCTAAGCAACCCCAGCGAGATGTCAACAGCCTCGTCACTAGCCACTAACAACTGTCCTCCGAGTAAGGCCGTTTCTGAGCGTGAGCAGAGGGGAAGGGACTATGAGGTCACACAATCGCACTTTCTTGAAATCGGCACCCGGAGCAAATCAAGAGGCAACAAACTGCTAAATCAATCTATCCGCGTCGCGTGCTGACAACACTGAATAGCTTTGGGAAGCAGACTGGATTTTTACCCAACAACGGCTTCGAAAAAGCAGTCACGGTAGAAAGCCGCTTCTCGCAGCTGCGAAAATGGCAGCTATCCCAAGAGATCATGGAGCGCGGCAGACGGTGCTGCTGAGCCCACCCAATACACCACTTATCCCTCAAAAGGCAAAAAAAAGCGCTGCTGCAACGTACCTGGATAAATAATTCGGTGAGAAGTTCTTGTGTCACTTTCTCGTCCAGATTCGACACGTAACAGGTTCGCTCAGCCACAGCACTCATTCTCACACCTATACGCGGAATGAAAAATTTTATTAAGAACAGAAGAAACAAGCTCCCCTCCCTCCCCCACTCTCCACCTACCCACTCCACCGCACACTGAATAAACCAAAACCCAAACAAGCCGACAACATCTTGAACCTGCTACCTATCGATCTAGCCGGTACGTGAGATCCCATGTTCTGCGGTGCAGCGTAATCTCTGAAACCTACCCTTGCTAAAATTCGGCTTGGCCCCTCAAAATTTCTAAAACCTGGCCCACTTTG